GCCTTTTGCTCTTATATGAGAGTTTATTCAGTTCTATTGAGGGTGCATCAGATTTTTTCTATTTATGATTTCGTTTCAAATTTTTATTCCTCGCTTAATAAATTTATGGAGTGAGTTAGATATTTTTTCCTCTTCTTCTTTTAATTTTTAGAGGTTGTCTTTGAAGATTTTCCCTCTTTCCGATGGGAATTGTGAATGAGATCATCTTTGTTGCTACATCTTTGTAGCTCATTTTGGACAATTCTAGCACATTTCGCTTGATTCTCATGTCTCAGTGTCTTTTACCATATCCATCGGTTTTTCTTTTTCAATTATTGTTGTTTTTTTATTATAAACTTCCAGGGAACTTAATAGGGTTTCAATTTGATTTGTTTGTTTTACATTCAAGCAAATGTTGGTATAGTTTTTTTGTTCTATTATTTGGGAACAATGTTCTGCTTTTACCTTTTCAGCTTCTTTTATTATAGAATAATTTTTTATTGGGCTAGCTATTAGCTCATCTTTCCATATTTTTATTGCTTCTAAAGGAGGATGTTCTGATTCTACAATTTTACATGTAGAAGTAGTCTTCTATGCTTTAGAAAGTTTATTTGTTTTACATAAATCTAATTTTTCTTATGTGGGTTTTATATTTTTAAATTGTTTTTGTTATATAAACCAATCACAACAAGGAATTTCGTACTAGAGTTATCTAGTATGATTTCTCTCTGATTTAGATAGATTTTCAAATAAGTGTTTCTTTCTTATTGATTGGGAATTAAAGTCTAACTTAATAAGGTTTTTATCTATTTGGAATTCATCCTCAATTTTTAAAAGATTAATCTCAAAGTCAGCCTCTGTTGGTTCATAGGACTTTATAGCGGGGACTTGATTCTGTGATAAGTCGGCAATGGTGCATCAACTATTGGTGTTTCATATGCAACATATATTATACCTTGAGGGGGGGGGGGTGAAGTGGTTATGCTAGATCCACCAACCTTCTTGAATAAGAAGATCTTACTTCTAATGGTTTTGTATATGAAGGTCTCGATGAAGTTGAGGCTCTTCTAAACCGTAGCTCTATAGATCCGTCATGCTCACTGAAAACCGAAGCTAATTCAATGTATTCTACGGGTCTAGGAAGCTCAGCATATGCTATTAGCCACTTATCTGTCAACTTTATATCTTTCCACATAATTTGTCTAGGAATCGTGACATTTTTCCTAAATTTGTTTGGAACAAAGTTATCATTCCTCTTGTTCCCGTTATCATAGTATTAGGACAAATGGTATTCATGGTGTTGAAGTAAATTTTGTAAACTAATGCTACGTTTTTTGATCCTAGTTTCATTTTGTAACCTTGGGTTTGCAGCCTCAAGGTTAAGGCTTCCTGTATTTTGGGGTCTGTTAGAGACACCGTGAAATTAGGGAATGCATTTAAATATATAGGTACTTGACTAAGGCTACTCTCAACTACTATTAAGGAATCACTAAACTTATTATGTATAGAATCTCTTAGACATGCCAAAGCAGTTGAATGGTTTGATGGCTAGTTGTACTAGGCCAAAATGGATGAAATGACATTCGTCTTTTCTCTTATAGGCCGCTATTATTTTTTGGTCTATAAGGTGGAAGTCTTCTTATTCATTGCCTAGTGTTATTGTTTTTTTTACAGTTCTAATAGTTCTAATACTGAAGTATGTTTTTAGACTAAAAACTCTCTTTTTATATATCTCCAAAGGTGCTATCTTGGGTATCGTCCAAATTTGAAGGGATTTTTCTATATTGCTAAAGTTTATCTCTTCCATATTTTTTATGGATAAGGACTTGGTAAGGGGAAAACTAGTGCTACATTATATAGAATTATCTTTAGAGTTAGATGCTGACCTAAACAATCTCCCCATCTTATCTTGCTACTTCACCTTCAACAATCAACCAACTTCAACGGCCTTTCAACAACTCTTTATGACCTAATGCGACTTCGACCTAAGTTCAAGGGTCCCAGCCTTGGTGCGTTGATAGATGTCTAGTTTATCCAACTTGGGTTCTAGCTAAGTAATCTCTTCGAGGAGGTTATAGGTAATGTCCAATTAAAAGATATCTCTCAAGATTGCAGGTTCAAATTCTATGCTTATTGTATAGGAATATAAAGGGTTATGGAAGGACAATGGACTAAGGGTGGATCAATGGGTCAATTGATCAATGGATCATTGACTTTGATGCCAAATGGGGGAGTGAGAGCAAGAATTGGCAACAACTGAGGGCTCTGATATTCAAGGGGTTATGTTGACAGAGAAGAATGATAACAAAAACTCAAACTAAGAAGCAATATGCTATGCATGAAAACAATGAAATCTAAAGTATTAATAATAATCACAATATTTGTAATAATTAACAACAATGAAATAATTACGGTATTTTATTAGTTAACAATATTAACTATGCTTTTAATTAATACAATATTTTTAATAATTAATTAAGAGTAGTTATTAAAACATTGGATTTATTAATTATCAGTATTTTTCATTAATATAGTACTTTTAATAATTACAATATTTTTATTAACAGTCTTTTTAATATTACAATATCAATAATTAACCAGATTTTACAATATTTTCAATAATTGTAGTATTATTAATTAACAATGCTTATTTAAATATTGTATTTATTAAAAAATACTAATATTTTTATTAATTCATTAATTAACAAATTTTAAATAATATTTAAATTAATGTAAGTTATAATTTAATTTGTATTTTAAATATTATTTAAATTATATTTGAAATTGTAATTTATATAATTAAATTTTAAATTGTAATTAAAAGTAATTATATTTAAATTAAATTTAAGCTATAAATAGCAGAAAATTACATTTAATGAAAATAAATTAGTAAAGAAAATAAGAAAAACAAAGTACCAATAATTTCATCATAATTACCAAAAATGATCCAAGAAATGACCAAAAAATGGATTAAAATGATTTCTAATAAATATGATAAATTACCAAAATTTTTAAAATATAACCATTAAAATTACTTTTTGAGTAGCTATTTATATATTTTCTCAAAGTTTTGCATTTTTCATATTTTCTTTTGTTTGAAAATATAAGAAATGTAATCATTGCTTATCTTGATTAGATTAATAAAGCTGCACACTATTAATACAATATTTGTAATAATTACAGTATTTTTAATTAATTAAAATAATTTATTAATTAGCAGTATTTTAATTAATATAGTATTTTTTAATAATTACAGCATTTTCAATAATTATAACATTATTTATTAAAATTATTTTTAATAATTATAACATTATTTATTAAAAATAATGTTTTTTTATTAAAAGTATTTTTAATAATTATAGTATTAATAATTATCCATATTTCTATAGTATTTTCAATATTTGCAGTATTATTAATTATAATATTTATAAATTAGCAGTGTTTTTAAAATACTGTATTTATTAAAAAAATATTAGTATTTTTATTAAATTGTTAAAATGTAAGTTATAATTTAAATTGTATTTGAAACTATAAGTAACATAATTAAATTTTAAATTGTAATTACAAATAATTATTTTTAAATCAAATTTAAGCTATAAATAGCAGAATATTACATTCAATGAATAAAAATTAGCAAAGAAATTACCAATAATGGATTATATTTAAATTAAAAGTACCTTTATATTTAGCCAATAATCTACTTTTAATTAGCCAACTATAATTAAAAATAATTATATTTAAATTAAAGTATCAATAATTATGTCATAATTAACAAAAATTATACAAGAAATTACCAAAAATGGATTAACATGATTTCTAATAAATATGATCAATTACCAAAAATTAAAAAATATAACCATTAAAGTTACTTTTTGAAAATATGTACTAATTATCAATAATCTTCAAGGAATAAATGTAATTAGTTCATAGTGTATTTAAAATACATTTGTTTTTTCATATAAATTATAAATTATAAATTATATAATTTAAACATTAGTCCTTGCCTATGATGATATTAGTTCATAGTGTTACAATGGAAAATATAAAAAATGTATTTACTATTATGTATTTCCATTACCATCAAGGCATTAGGCCCATCACTGATGAGTTCACATCTACGCTCTCCCAATACACGACGGAACTAAACTCACGTTTGCATTATTCAAATGTTTGAGTTTGGCTTTGGTGAGGGCAAAGCCCATTCGAGCAGCCTTTACAACCTTGCATCTAGAGTATCTCCCTGCTTATGTGCTTTGTTTGTTAGAGAGATATTCTCAATACAAGGTGAAAAAGGTGGTTGGAATGGCGTGGGCACGAGCTTGCTCTGATGGAAGCCGATCTCCAAATGTTCAAACCTTTTTGTGGAGATCTGTTGCAAATTTATTGGATTCAAAAGGAAAGTCCATTTGAGTCCAAATCCATTGGATTCCGAACAGCTCATGCATTTGAACATGTATGGCACACCTGCCATTAGACTTGTTCATGGGCAGGTAGCTCGACGACCTGACCCAACCTGTTATTTTTTTGGACTTGGACAAAACTTCAGGCCTGTGGGCTTGGGCTTAGGCTTTAAATGGCAGGCCCAGTCTTTTTTTGGGTTGGGCTTTCTTAAATAAGCTTGACCCGGGCTCAGGCTTGGCCCGATACTATTATATATAATAAGAAGCATTTATGTTATATGTAGTAAATATATAATATTTATTTCTTAAATTATTAATAAATATTAATTTACTATTAGGAAATACAAATTACTTTATTAATTTATTAAATTATTACTAAATTAATTTAATATTAATTTATAAAAATATATTAAAATAAGACATTTTATGTATAGGTCAGGTTTCGAACTTTATATAAAGACCGGAATCGAAATCCATATCTAGGCCCGATAATCAGCCAGAACTCAGGTTCGGGCCTCCACATTTCATGTTGATAAAGAGGCAAAACTCGACCCATAAACATGTCTACCTGTCATAAAATGAATGGGAATTGGGAAGTGCAGGAAAAAGCGCACGATCCCGAAAATGTTCACGCATTGTTGTCACTTGTCAGCGTCCTGAGTCTGGGCAGCAGATTCGGTATTATTGTAACTTGTTAGGTCGTGATCGGACGTATCGGAAAGCAGAAAGCTTACTGGGTCGTCGGCTTACCGGTTTAAACGGATCAATTCGAGCAGTTCCGGACCGGATAGAAAACCGCTTTACGCTGATATTTAGATACGATTTCTATCTCCATTGTTTGAAAAACGGTGAAAAGGGCGGAAACCCTAGCTTGTTTCTACCTCGATCTATATCTGAAGAGCGAGGGACCCTTTTTTTTCATAGTTCTAATTGGTTTTCTGTGGATAAACCTGCGAGGAAGGTATAGACACCTTTGACACCAGAGGTCCGTAATAGGTAATCCTTTTTTTTTTTTTTCTCTCAACGTTTGCATATTCCCGTTCTCAGTATCATTGTTCGAGTGACTTTATGGTAACTCCTGGTACATGGATCCATGTCTCCATAAATGTTTTAACTGTAGATCAATGTTTGGAGTGTTATATAAGTGAGCTGCTGGGTTCTCCGATTTCATTTTTTTAGGGTTTGCCTTTCCTTTCATCCGACATTTAGGGTTTCTGAGGAAGAGCTATGGGATTAGGTTTTTAAGGTATCCATTTAATGCAATCCTTACAATTTATTTATGTAATTGCCTCTCCCTAATGTAAATTTTCTAACATCTGTAATGACGGTGGGTTAGCAATATTATGTAATTTCTTCTTTATACTCTCATATTTAGTTTTATAGATACTATCGTATTTAATTCATTGTGCGTTAACGATATGATGTAATCGTTCTTAATTACTCCCCCAGGAAAAAAAAGAAGAGGAAAAACCTTTTCTGTTGAATATTTTAGTTTCTTCCAAGAATTTAGTTGAGTGATGGGTACAGGTTTTACATTGTAATTTATTTAGACAATCAAATACTTAAAGGAATCAAGATGAAAGCCTTTAGCAGAAATAATTGGTAGCTAATGCAACTACAGATTTATTAGTTAATTTCTTATTACAGGGTTTTATTATTTCCTTTCTATCACAAAGAATTGAAGTTGGAGAAAACGTTCTATTAGAAAATAATAGTACAAGTTACAAGTTTTCCCTTTTTTGGTCATATAATCTCTCTCTTCTTTCTTATGTCTATGCATATATACATAGTCTTGAAATCATCTTCTGGATTTAGTAGGAAGGATCTGGATCTTGCAGTGAAATTGAGAAAGGGGTAATTAATGGGAATACTGAAGAGCTATGTTCTTTTTCTGGATGTTGTGCAGTATTACTTTATGCTTATTTGTCTAAGTCTGGTAATGACTAGTGTTTTTGGGCAATTGATTGTCTGCTGGAGATATCTAATGATGAGGTGTTATAGTTGAAGAAATGGGCTATTTGAGTGTCAGGTGTAGTATGCAATGGTGAAATGAAGGCAGGTGGTTATTGCTTATGAAACGGAAAGTTGTGGTTTGCTTTTTACATAGGGATTTTCTCGTAGTGTTGGAATTTGGCGTTTTCTGTTTTGAAGAGAAAGCTAGGGGGTTTGATGTGGATTCATGGAGATGATTTTAGATGTATGGTTGTAATGTGGACAGGGAGCAAGCAGCAGCTGTGGACTGTGTTGGTTGTGGTGGTGGTGGTTTTGCCAAGCACTTGTGGTTGGTGTGATTAGGGAAAGATTTGAAGATGAGCCAGCGCAGCAGGAGCAGGAGTCCACGGGATCGCAGGATCCGCTCTGAACGATTTTCCTACCGTGATGCACCTTACAGGAGAGACTCACGTCGGGGGTTCAGGTTTCTTGGTTTCTAAACACATATATTTGTTTTCTCTGTCACTTCCCTGCATGAAGCAGGGAAGAAAAGAAGGGCACAGCAGTTTATGCATATTTTTCTACAATATGGATATTGAATTTAATAATTTTTTATTGCTAGCTATTGATTTTAATATTGTTTTTGTTTTGGTTGAGGTTTTTGGTGGAATTTGTACTTTTGATTCGAGTGTAAAGATTCATGTTTGTTATAGTTGTTTTTTCTTTTTCCAAGTGCTGCCTTTGTTTTAAGATAGTTCTCAAGGTATACAGGCAATTCTAGGCAACAGTGGAGCACTTAGTTTCCTAGGTACCTAAGTGATGGAATTTGACAAGGAAGAAATCTAAATTCTCGGTTAATTTCCTAGTTTTATAAAGCAACCAGTAAGAATACCAGTTGTAAATAGAATTGTTCTTACAAAATTATTATACCTAAAAGATTGCAGCATTTTGAATCTATTAGTTTTTATTATATTATCTCAAGCACAATATTGAACTATGGTAGTATTTGGATGGTGAGTATAATGAAGGTTTTTTTCTGATATGTTGTCTTCATGTGGATGTATGCCAGGGCTTTCTGTAGTAGTGTATTAGTCCAGTGATTTAATATCGTAATCCAATGTTTTAGGCCCTTTGCGCATCTGAACTATTCATCCTACAATGCAGTTAGAGCTTATTTGGAACTTCAAGTCTGAAAGTGGCAAGTGGCATACACACAAAAACACAAACATGCATGTGTGTTGACAATGTCTTTGGGAATGCTTGCATAAGGGATTGGTCTTTGGATTTGTCCTTGCAATTTCTTTTGAGTACTGTTTGTTTTTGAGGAGTATGTCAGAAGGTTTCACACGTGGGGCAGTGCCTTACATTAAAAACACATGCTCATTGTTTCAATGTTGGCAGTGTGTGGGGACTGGCCAAGTGGCAGTGGTAGTGGAAGAGAAAAAGCATTAGTGAGCCACAATCTAATATATACATTACTTCAGTGTGAGACCAGCACAAATTATCATTAGTTTATATTTCTATTTTGGTACACCAATCAAAAAATATTTATGGTAATATGAGAAAGAGAAGATTATAAATTGGAGGTCAAGATCTCTTGAATGTATTTCTTTGTTAGAAGTTGGAGAGATAAATGGATTGCTCATGTTCCTAAAGTAGAAGAATTTCTGAGATACTGAGATGTGGCAGATGGTGGTAGGCAATCTTTCAGGGAGATCGAGCTGATAACACGTTCTTAAATTTTGACAACGTACTATAACAATGACTTTTGGCAAATTTTTAATTCAATGACATAAGGGCCAGAGCAGCAGTTCATTGACACAGATGGGGGTACTATCGGGAGCTTAAACTACATATCCCAAAGAAATTAGTTCGAATTCAATGGGCTATTTGAGAGCAGCCAAAGTAGCTGAACTGAATGGCTTATTGCCTTGTATTTTAGTGGATAAAATAATTAAATAAAAAACAGTGGCATAATAATTGTCAAACTTCAGCTTGAGCCTTTAGGTAGCTCACAACCTCCTTAAAATGTTATTTACTAAAAGACAAAGTAATAAGTAATCCAGTTCTGCCATTTCAGCTGTTTTTGAACAGCCCCTAAGATCTTCTACAATCAGCAACTCATTTGGTTGCCCATGGCATCCTTCCAGAATCAACACACAACTGCAGTGGCAGTCTTATAATTTGGTCAAGACCTGTAGCCTCCCTGTTTAATGCTTTTGTTTTAGATATTTTTGTAATATTGTTTCCTTCCCCATCATTATCATCATTGCATGGATTAGGCTTAGGTTATGTAAATATATGTATTAATGTGCATGCTATATGTATGCACATACGGTTGTGTAGTTTCATATTTTAGAGTCATAAGTGTAACTTTGTCAGCAGCATGAAAGAACAGAAGTGAGAGGAATAGTTTTTGTGGCGCCAAGGTGAGGCTAGATGACAGGGGGTGCCTTGTCACCTAGTCGCCTAGGCGATGGATTTTTTTAAGTAAAACCATATATCCTAGGGTAGTTCCCTAGGTTCTGTAACCATCTTTCCTTAATAGTTATCCATAATTTTCATAAGAGAAGTATAAATTTTATGTTTTAAGTTTAGAAAATCAACATTTTATCATTTTATGAGAAAAAAAGGAACAAAGGAAAGAAAATTCAAAAAATATAGGGGCTGAACCCCCTACTTTTGTTAAAGGAAAAGAAGAAAAGAAAAGGTGGAAGAGGAAGATTTGTAAGAAGAAAATGTGTTGATTAGACAATTTTAAGTTCTTCCCTTGCTTATTGGTTCAGGTTCTGAAATCTTTGAGGATTCAATCAAGGATCAAAACTTTGATACGATACGCCCCGTATCTGGTGTATTGTATTGTATCTTTGGCGCCCCAATACACATGTTTACAGGTGTTTTCGGGAACCCATTTTTTAAAATAATATATATTTAAAAATGAAAATGAAAACCAAATAAATAAAAAAATAGGGGAGTATTGTTATAAGTACTGATACACCTCTACCGATACACAGAGGTGTATCGATTTCTTTACCTGCCCAATTTCTAACGAATCAAGATACCCATTCGTTYCGGTATAAATAGTCACTATCTGCTCATCCACTGTGAGAGGGGCTGATTGGGATTGTTTGAGTAATTTACGTAATCGTTGGCCTCTCGGCAATTGATTCTGAGTAGCTTTATHGAGATCAGAAGCGAATTGTGCAAAGGCTTCTAATACTTTGAACCATGTGTTCAATATAGCAGTTAGCAATGTTTGTGTTGATTAAACCCTAACAAATAAGAAAATAATAAAAATAAATTAGTAGATAAACACATAAAATGAGTATTCTAGTTTAATAATGCATTATTTTATAATTATAATGCCAAAAAATAAAAAATATAAAAGTATTTTATAACATAGTGCACAAAACTACTTGGTGACTGGGCGAGGCCAGCCTCCAAGGGCGCCTGCCTAGGCGTCACCTTGACAATATGGTGAGAGGGAAACATTGCCAGTCTATGATTCAAGAAGGGCAACAATACTTGAGTGCTTATGTCTTGTAAGTTGTAATGATATTTGAGGCTCAGAAAGGTAATTTCATCAATCACATAAAAAAAAAAGGGAAAAGTTGCTATTACCTTGCCAGTCTCTGCTGGTTCAAGCTGTCTTGGCAATTTGATTAAATTTTGTTGTAATTTTTTATGGTTGGGAGATTTTGTTCATTAGTCTGGTTTATCAACCATCGTTAAGGTTGCTAGGTATTCCCCCTCTTTAAGAATGCTTGTATTTGGAAGTGGAAATCAGATGATTCTTTCTCAGGTTGATCACTTATCAGCCCTCTTTTGCTATATTTTTTTGTCATCAAAACATTAATTCAAGAACTTTTTATATTGGTCAATAGGATCACACATGATGGACTCAAAGAAATAGGGTTCCAATAAAGAAAAGAAGGTTGTAAGTTTCAGTAGTTGCCGAGTGGATGGTAATGTGTTCAGGTATAATGTTCTTTCAAAGAACATTGGTGAGGAAACAAAGGTGACACATCCATAAGTGCACAATCATGATTTCCTACATCACCCAAACAACCAACGAAACAAGAAGAGAGTGTCACCCCCAAGTGGTTTAGCAGGATCTGAGGGTGAACCTCTCTCCCCTCCCCTTTCCTGTTCTGCATCTGTTGCTTCCTGACCCTCTACCAGGAAACTCCTGACGCCCTGACGCCCCTGAATCATTGGTAGTGGACAGTAGCTAATATGTCCTTACTCCAGTGGTGCTCTTTCCTCCAAAAAATCTGTTGAGACCTTTTTGTCTAGTGGAACCTGATGTAAATCCCATATGTTGCTTTTTGATATTTTACTGCTTGGTGGAGTCAGCTATGTACACTGTACAGAACCTATCCCTGTCTCTTTCTCTATGTGATGTGTACTCTTTTGTCACTTTCAATAGATTTACCTACATGAAAAGGGGAAAAAAAGAAAATGATTAAGAAGAATGAAGACAAGAAAGTAAAGGGAAAAAAGAAGTACTTTTCAGAGCAGGCTATTTTGTTTTACCTTGTAGGAAAAGGTAGTATCTTCATAGGACACCTTTGTAATTATGGATCTTAATTAGCATGGAAAAATTGAGGGGTTTAAATAAATAAACTTTTCTGGTCTAGAATTTTTGAATTGAATCTTAAGTACGGGAATGACTGAGTTAGGAGGAAAGGAGAATGGCAATTGATGATTGGCTAGCTCTCTTCAAGGGTAGATTTTGCTTGCCCCTCAGATGAATTGAAGAAGCAACTATCTTGCCAGGTCTTGCAGATGCTCTGGCAGGATAACAGGAAATCAGCTGGAATGGTCCAACAAGGAGCACCAAGCATGGGGATAAACATGTAAAACTGTGATATTCTCTGGGTTGGCCGATATGTTGGAAGTCTCCTTGGTGGGGTGTTAATTGGGATAGATGCACTCCGTGCATATTGCTGGTTCATTGATAAATGGACTTAAGACTCCACTATCTCAGAGATTGTGGCTTTACTTATGGCTTGTTTTTCTTATTGGTAACTGAAGCTTTACTTATAGTTCCAATGAATAATTGATTACTTTGAGATTATGAGAGAAGGTAAAGTATATTCTATTACTCAAAGCATATGGTTCTCTGTACAATTAGTTGCTATACATGTGTAACCCACACAATAACCTCAAAAAAAACAGCCAACCAGTCCCTAACTGTTGCAACTGCTAAATTGATCACCTTTGCTTCAGTTGTGCGTTTCTGATCAAATTTCTTTTAAACCATAAAAGCCCATATGATTGTCAGTGGAATAGATGACCAGCACACTTTCCCTTTTTTAGTCATTATGGGAACCAGCCACTCTTCCAGGAGTGCTCTCTCAGTACCTGGAATACTTTGAGGTTATGTTTTGCATTTAAGTTTTATTCGAGATTCAGATCATGCCACTAATGGAGCATGAGGATTGGTAAATGATCTTAATGAGAATCAAGCATCAAGTGTAATGTTTGTAACTAAATCTTTTAAAGACAATTTGGAAAAAAAGTATTCCTAATTAAAGAAAGTAACAAGGTAATTTGGTTGAAGTGTTCTCTCCGAGGGGAGTCCAGTTAATCTTTTATATGTGGAACATCATGAGTTTTTTGGGTCTCTGGATTGGGTTGACTTAACCCTTAAAATATTAATCCACATACTATTGAAGGAATTACTAGTTTGTTAGAAATAGTGATCAATGAAGATAAAGGCAGGGTTTTTATGTGTCCATTTCAATTCTTTATATCATGATTTGAATCTATTGGGTTTTATTTTGTTTATGGGTACATTTGTGATAACATTGTGGTAATTATCTCATAATTCTTTGTGGAATAGTAATAATTTCTTCCTCGTCTTTTTGACAGTTTTTGTTTTGTTGCCATTTTGTGCCTTTTCACTCATGATGTTTAACGGCCAGTTTGATGTGACCATGCATCAAATATCCAATTCAGTATTTAGATGTGGTTTATCAATACATCAATATCTTAGGCAAGGATTAATTTATAAGGGCAAAACGGAGGGGCACATTTGGAGTCTTATATGATGGGAGAATACCACTTGGGTTAAGAGGAAAATTTTAGAAAACGGTTATAGGGCCAGCAATGTTGTATGGAGACAAGAGGTAATCACGAAACATGGCCAAAAATGATTGTGTCTGAAATGCAATTGTGTTGAGTGGTAAGACTAGAAATGATAGGGTCGGAAATGAACTTATTTGAAATAACCTAGGAGTACTGCAATAGGTGATAATATGATTGGAAGTAGGCTCAAATAATTTGTACATGCACAGAGAAGACTATCTACAGCACCAGTAAAAGGAAATGATCTATTATAAGTTGAAGGGGCTAGAAGAGCTAGGGGCAGGGCAAAGAGGACATTGGATATGGTACTGAACAGGATGGAATGGTGGAACAAGTTTCATGCAGCCGATCCCATAGAGTTGGAGAAAGGCTTGGGTGATGGTGATGTAGGGATTAACTTGTACATCTATATTTTCAGTTACATGCAAGTATCTTTCTCTCATAATTCTTTGGAAGAAGCTTGATGAGGAGTTGGTGAACAAGGTGGTTGGACAGATTAGGTTCTTGGGATGGGAGACAACAAGTGTTTGGGATGTTTGGGCATACATACTTGAGTGGGCAAAATCTGTTTGGGGATGGTTAAGGGTTCTTTGTAGTTTTTGTTCTTGTTGGCTTGGATTTATAGGGAGTGAATACAGTCCCTTGCTGTATCTTTGAGATCCTCTCTTCATCTTTGTTATTTTGGATGGTTTTATATAAATAAATTTTAGCTTCTATTATTCAAAAAAAAAAAAAGAACTTTGGAAGGAGCTAATGTCTTCCCCATCAATGACTGGTTTCACTCTTTGGTTTGTTTAGTTTAGGTCTCAATGTTCTGCAAGGATGCACAAAGATGTGTAACCAAATAGGATAAAGTAATTGTGTAATTTGTGGAATGCATTCATAAACTGCAGAACTGCCTCTAGTTAGCCCCAGATCTATCTGGTTTAAATTACTTTAGACTCATCCTTTAACTTTGGAAAGTCTAGATATATTTGTTTCAGTCTTGTCATATAATGGTGCATCATGTATGTGTATGAATTATTGGTTGCTTGTAAGCCTTCTGTTTAACTAGTTCTTCCTTTCTAAATGTGAAGTTTCTACGCAGAAACCGCCCTTATTAAACTAAAGCATATTAGTTGATAATGGCCAATTGAAGTCATTTTGTATCTGTGATTATTCTAAAGTTCTTGTTCTGCCTCTATTAACTTTAGTGGCATCCCCTCTTCTTCCAGCCAGGGCAATCTGTGCAAAAATTGCAAGCGACCAGGTCATTATGCAAGAGAATGCCCCAATGCTGCAATCTGCAACAATTGTGGTCTCCCCGGGTAAAGGAATACCGCTTGTGTATTGACTTGCAAATACAAGCACACACGACATATAAGCATACATGATTGGAGAAGATTTCACTTTTTCCCCCTTTTCTCATTTTTATCTTGAACTTGTACTTAAATTTTTAATGTCAACAATGTACATAAATCCTGTGCCAGGCACATTGCATCAGAGTGCACCACCAAGTCCTTATGTTGGAACTGTCGAGAGCCTGGCCATATGGCCAGCCACTGTCCAAATGAGGGCATTTGCCACACTTGCGGCAAAGCCGGTCATCGTGCCAAAGAATGTTCAGCTCCTGAGCTGCCACCTGGTGACCTGAGGCTGTGCAACAACTGCTATAAGCAAGGTCATACGGCTGCTGATTGCACAAATGAGAAGGCATGCAATAACTGCAGGAAGACAGGTCACCTAGCTCGAGACTGCCAGAATGAACCTGTATGCAACTTGTGTAATATCTCTGGGCATGTTGCTAGGCAGTGCCCCAAGGCTGACATTCTTGCAGATAGGGGTATTGGGGCTCGCAGTGTTGGTTACCGAGATGTTGTATGCAGGAACTGCCACCAGATAGGTCACATGAGCAGGGACTGTATGGGTCCATTGATGATCTGCCACAACTGTGGCGGCCGAGGACACATGGCGTTTGAGTGCCCATCTGGTAGGTTTTTGGACCGTGGACCTCGAAGGTACTGATACGAGAAACCCGCTGTTAGCCTGCAACCTTGATGGGCAGTATCTTATGTCTGGATTATCTGTGTTCTCTAATAGCCAATAGGCCATCTTGAGCCATTTTCCTTTGAAGTTCGTAACATTTATGTTTCGGTGGCTTTAGTCAACTGATTTTCAATTAAATGAGATCTAGTTCGTCTTCCTTTTTTTGTTTACTTGATATGGATGCTATATGTCCTCTCTACTAGGGGGCTTTGGGCTCGAGGGGAAGAGGTAAGGTTGCTGTCTTGTTGAATAAAGGGTAAATTGCGAAAACCTCCCCCTAACTTCGGTAGTTTCAATCACCTCCCCAAACTTTTTAACAAAGTTGCAAGTAGTCTACTCTCTTAGAAATCTCTAACAAGATGGATGAAAATGTTTAAATTACATGTGCAGTTATTTTTTACCAAAATGTTTATTTTTCAAATTCTCTTCATATCAATAGTTACCCTAAGCCTTTTTATCTCTTTTTTGAAATTGATTTATTTTTCAATTTTACTTTTTATATTAATTGCTCAGAGATAAAGCTATATAGCTTTAAACTCTCTTCTTTTGTTATTCATAAAGTTTGTATTATTTTTTATATAAAAACCAGTCTCAATTGTAAATTTGTAATTGCATGGGTGTTGATTAAAAAAAACTGTAATTGCATAGGTATTTTGGATATTTTAGTCCCTTGAGGATTCTATAAAGGGCTTCTTTTACTTGCAATCATGTCGTAAGGTACCAACTAACTGGTTGATAAGGTATTTTTTTGCTAGTTGTCAATCGAATCTCGCCTGCACATGGGTTGAGGGATGGGCTCCCCACCCGTTGTGTAGCCCTTTGAATGAACCGAAAAAATTACTTATAGGTTATAACTTATAACTATATCAAAACAGTTTAGGGAGATAATTGCAATTACCACGCTTAGGGAAGTTCTACAATTTGCCCATAAATATAGGTAAAAGAGATTATCAAGTTATGGGTGGTTAATAATATTCCCTATATATGACAAGTTTCTACCAAAAAATTACGTTCTAATTTTCTGTTAGTCATGATAGACAGATGTTTCTACGGTTCTACCAAAAGAAGATCCCAACAGATGTAGTCCTCTTGATTCATACATCTTGCAACATTCATTTGTTCTACAAGTTGCGTAAATATTAAAAAATTAGGAAATTTATTTTTCTGATGTGGCCGTTTTTGTTTTCAAAAGCAACCTCATTATATAATGAGAATGTGAAATCATGCATTGGGTAAAGAAAGGGAAAACTGATTAAGTTTGGTTGGCTGGATTCAAGTTCGAATCTGTCCCCCACGAATTTGCGCCCCAAAAAAAGAGGTAATAAGGCTGCAAACAGATCGGATTGGATTCAGTAAGTCGATCCGATCCGTTAAGAAAATCTTGACTGATCCGATTTTGATAAGGATCCATTGGATTTTTGAGAGCATGATTTGAATTTGAATATATTATCGAATAATGATTCGAATCCGATTCGATTAGAATTATATTTATATTATGTAATATAAAAATATATTATATTATTTATATCAACGATTAAAGTATTGGAATGGGATATCGTATCAGATAATTTGGATACGAATACAAATACTCTTGGGAAATATATGGATACAGACAAAAAAAACATAGAAACACTTAGATACGCTAAAAAATGCATACAAATTCCATAAATATATTAAGAGCATTAAGTTTAATGTCAAAATAATTACAAATAATGTATAAATACATAGAAATTGTATATTTAAATGATATATTATAATTAATATAACAAGACACGTGGATATTATACAATTTTATTAATAATGCATCAATCAAGATTCCAAGGCACACATGATATAGATTTTTACAAATTAATACATGAAAAAGCCAATATTATTTTATTATCTATTAAAGAGTAAGGCATAAAGGATATGCAACTATTATATTTGAATTATTATATCAATTTTTTCTATTTTCTATTTTTATTTTTTAATATTAACAAAAAATCAACTAAAAATTTAATTCTCAAATGTTTGCTAAAAATATTTATATTTTTGTAAATAATAAATATGTTTCTATAAAATGTAAATTAAAATATCAATTAATAATTTATAAAAATATATCAAATCTATTAAAATTTTGAAGATGCATTTAATATTTAAATTCATAAATTTTAATTACTAAGATAATTATTCCATTATTAATATTTTCTTTTTGTAAAATTTCGAAATTAAAAAAAAATATATATATATATATATAATGTAGATTAATGGATTTGGTAGGTTCAATTTATATTATATTTTCAAATACTTTGTAAACAATATTGTTATTTTTTGTAAATAATAGAGACATTGTTATTTAATGCAAATTAAAATATTAATTAATAATTTTTAAAACTTTTAAGATATATATCATGTGAAAATTTATAAAATGTAAGTATTAAAACAATTATTCTACTATTACTCTTAATAAATAATTATTTTATTTTTAATGTTTTATTTGTATACTTTTTTGAAATTAAAATTCATTTATGTGTGTGTGTGTGTGTGTGTGGTTTTTATAAATTATTTATTCTATTGATTTGTAAAATACTAATTTTAAATTTTGTTCTTTTTAATTTGTAAGTGGAGTTGTTGAAAATAAATATATGTTGTTTTGTTTGTATAAACATTAATTATAAGAAAAGTTAATTTATTACACTTATTGACATGAAATAAGAAATGACTTTATGGTTAAAGGTGTTTGCACACTTTGGTATTAACCATCTTAGTTTGAAGTCACGCTACCCATCTTTTTTATGGTGATGTGCTTCTTCATTCTTTGAAACCATGGTCGATACGCTTCCGTGCGGCAGATCATGAGAGATATCCAGATTCGATCTGTTAAGTTAACGGATTTGCTTTTCCAATCTGATCCGATTTGTTAGGATGGTGAGGAATTTTTGGACCCACCTCTTAACGGATCAGATATTGTCCTACTTTTTCTGCAACCCTATCAAAAACGTCCTGTAGCATTACTAGACCTATTCATGGGCCAAGTAGCCCGATGGCCCGGCCCGCACCCTGGTCGGGCTTGGTCATGTAATTAGGCCCGCAGGCCTGACCTCGGGCCTAACACAGTAAGCCCAACTGTGTTTCAGGCCGGGCTCGGGATTTGTCAAAAAAGCCCGGCCTGACTCAACATTATATATTATATAAAATATATAAATAATATAATATTTTGAGATCCTTGGTGCTACATTGGAGATTTTAACCTAATTTTCCACATGCATGAAAAATTGGGAGGAAGACAAGCAAAAATGGGGACTTTGAGGAAGAATAATGTTTTTTTGAGATCCATACAAATGGGAGAAATCCAAAACTATAGACCTCTTTTCACTTGGTCAAATAAAAGGGAAGGGAAAAGCCACATAAAAGCAAAGTTAGACCAAGGGTTGGGAAATATCTTGTGGAAGGAGATTTTCCTAGAGGCAAGGGTATCCACCATTATCTCTAAGGATCTGATCACCTCCCCATCTGCCTAACCACAAATCCTCCTCCGATTAAACTCAGGCGACCCTTTAGGTTTGAGGAAATGTGGATCACGCATGAGAAGTGCGGAGATATCATCAGTAAGTGCCGGAATGAGCAGCTAACTTCTCAACTTGTGTACAATAAGTGTAGGAAACTTAGTCAAACTCTTAGAAAATGGAACATGATAGAATTTGGAATCATAAAGGATCAATTAGAAAGTCTTAAGTCAAAGCTTTGCCATGAATAGGCAAAAGGATGATCAAATTACAACCAACAGAGAGTGAAGGAAATTGAAGAAAAATTAGATTTAATTCTGAAAAGAGAGGAAATGCTTTGGGCTTAGAAATCCAGGGTTAACTAGATCTCCTATGGAGATAAGAACACCAGATTTTTCCACAATGCCACCGTCAGAAGGAGAGAAAAAACTAAAATTTTAAAACTGAAGGATGAAGATGGCCAGTGGATGGCCGGTCAAGATAACATCAACAAATATTGGTAAATCATTTTAAAAATCTATTCACTCCAGGTAATCCTATAGATCTGGAATCAACTCTTGATCATATTCAACCTATAATCACAAGTGAGGATAACTACATTTTAGAGGAGGGTGTCACCTCTAGGGAAATTATTGAAGCTCTCTTCCAAATGGCCCCTAGGAAGGCCTCGGGGCTTGATGGATTTCCTAATTTGTTCTTCCATAAATACTAGGGAATAGTGGGAGAGGATGTGATAAAATAGGTCTGCAACTTTTTCCAAAATGGAGACTTGGACCAAGACCTAAACACCACATTCATTACTCTAATCCCAAAGGTTAAAAACCCTGAATCAGCTGCTTAGTTTAGGCCTATAAGTCTCTGCAATACTGTGTATAAAATCATAGCAAAGATCCTTGCAAATAGGCTGAAACAAATTATGGGGTCAATAATTTATGAAAACCATAGTGCTTTTATCCCTATAAGAGTTATCACTAATAACATCCTCCTTTCTCATGAGGTGATGCATTATATGAAAAACACAAAAGCTTCTTCAGGGTTTATGGCCTTAAAGCTTGATATGATTAAGGCCTATGATAGGGTTGAGTGATCTTTCCTTCAAAGAACCTTAGAGACTATGGGCTTTGGAAATACATTGATCAGTTGGGTAATGAAAGGTGTCTCTTTAATGACCTACCAGATTTTGATCAATGGCTCTCATTCGCCAAAAATCTACCCCCAAAGAGGTTTAAGACAAACCCCCTTTCCCCCTATTTATTCTTATTATGCTTTGATGTTTTGTCAACTAAACTAAATAATTTTGTGAGTAGGGCAATTATTTATGAAATCAAAATCTGCAGGCAAGCTCCTATCCTCTCTCACCTGTTCTTTGCTGACAACAGCTACATCATTTATAGAGCAAATCTGGAAGAAAGAAGAGCTATCCTTAATGCTATATCCTTATATGAGAGAGCCTCCGGTCAATTAGTGAACTACAACATGTCTGAAGTTTTCTTTAGTTCAAACTTCCACCCAAGACTCCAAAGATTAATGATAAGACTCTTAAGGGTAAAGATAGTAGAAAATCCCTCCATCTATTTGGGTCTCTCTCCTGAACTAGGATGAAGGGAGTGTCACCTTTTTAACTTTCTGAAGGAAAGAATTGCAAATAAGATCGGGAATTGGAAAGGAACCCTACTTTCACAGGC